ACAGACCCGTCTGTCTGTCCCCAACAGACCTTCCCCACAGTCCTTGATGCTGCCTAGGCTTCCTGGGCGCTGAGGGGTTTGGTACCTTGGCTCAGAGTCACTCTACAAGCAACTAAAGCCGTTAAGAACTATTTGGATATTTTGCTTTCTCCTTTTATCGCTGAGTGAATCGAGCTGATGCTCGTGAAGCAGGTTAATGGCACTAACTACAGCCACTCGCCAGCCAAGCTTTCACTGCACAGCTTTTCCAGCAGGCTGGCTTCTTCCCTGGCTGTTTCCTCAGATGCTGCAGTTTTTGCACCAGAGCCGCATCGCTTCGGATGCACCGTGTCCACGTTCTGCAGTGCTGCAGATCACCTCGCTGCAATCTGGTGGCAATTGCTTTGCTATTTCATTGTACAAAATAGCTTCTGGAGTCCTAAAATGCTAGAAGAGCAGCTGCCTGGAGATTGCAGCTTCAATATCATTAATATTTCCTTAATATAGAGCATTTTTAGAAATAACACCGTTCGTTTTTCTGCTCTATCTCTTTGGCAGGACACGGTCCCATTCTTAAAGAGGATGGACAGTCCTATTACAACACATCTTACCAAGCACAGTTTAAGGGTGAATGGAATCCTCCTGCAAAGCCAAGTGTAAAGGTAACAGCGTGATTCTGGGGATGACCAAGGCACAGTTAAAAGGGCAGCATGTTCCCACATGGAATTCTGTCCTGAAAGGGGTGGGATCTGTGCAAGTGAAAGCCAGATGGATGGAAAGACAGAGAAATGAAGGGATTGTGCTTTAAGTGACTGTTCTGTCGCTCTCTTGGCTTCCCTTCAGCATTTATCTCCAATCAGATTTGGGGATCCTAGAAGCAATGGATCTATAAGCGAGCAGAAACACGCCTACAGAGCCCCAGACAAGAGGACACACAGGTATCAGCCAGAGATCTTGATGGACATCCCCAGGAAATGTTCTTTCTGATGAACATTGCTATTTAAGCATCTCCTCTCTGATATCTTGTAGGGTCTACGACAAGGAACACGCTGCCTCCCAGATCCACCACACGAACCTGCAGCTGGGAGATGGTCGCACCAGGTTCTCCACCTTGACGTCGGAGTTCTTCCCAGTGCGTGCTCTAGGTAGGGCAGGTCTGTGACACACAGGTGACCTGTACAGACCACTACTGGGGTTAATAATGAGCTGGGCAGTAGCTTTTATCACTTGGTTTTAGTGATACAATTATAGATAAAGATATAATGTATTCATGTAATAGGTAAATCATTTTATATTTCTAATGTTTTATAGTTTTTATGTACCCGGCATCAGCGTTGTCACTGTGAGGCTGTCTCATCCTCAGTCCACAGATTAAATAGCTGGATTAATTCCTGTGCATTATTGCATGAGGAGAAGCTGCTGTAGCTATAAATTGTCCAGAGGCTTTGACATCCTTCACTCTTGCTTTTGCCAGAGCCTGTAACCATTGCTCGTCCAAACAAATATACCTCATCCATCCCCAGAGGTGATGAAGACCCTGAGAGAAATCAAGCATTGGCAAGAACCACGACACAGCTCTCCTACCCAGAGGTCTGTTCCCAGCTTTGCTCTGTGGGTGTTTCTCCCGTGGAGACTCTTCTCTTTTTTTAAGTCCTCTACCCTGGCACCTCAAGCTGATGCTGTTGTCCCTCTCCCCTCCCTGCTCTGGGCTGTGCAGGGTGTCACGTGCAATAAGGTGCCTTTCCCAGCTACACCCTGTTTCTGTTAAAGCAGCTCTTGTGTTCTCCAGACTGACAGGTGGAACCTCCCACCGAAGCCTGAGCTGGTGCCGTGGCAGAATCAAAGCAACTTCTGCTTGGGAGATGAGCGTTCAGGCTCACAATTCTTCAGCACAACGCAGCAGGGAGACTATCAGCCACCCTGCCAGAGCCAGAGGGTGACAGCAGACAGCAGGAGACACCGCGAGAGCCACATCCCCTTCAACTACCACAGTAAGGCCACGTTGCTCAGACTGTCATGGTGCCAGGTGAAGCCTGCTGAGGTTCTCTTAGCTCTGTGCAAGGGATAGCGGTGCCTGGTGCTCTGGGAGAGAAGGCAGCTCAGACATCTCGGGTTGGAGGTGACAGGAAGGCACTGGTGCAACATCAGTGTCTGTAGTAAAATGAGATTGTCACCCCAAAACCAGGCAGGAGAGGTGTGCTCAGCCCCATGGCTGCTGCTTCTCACAGCGACTGCTAATCTCAGGCATTTTCACCTCCCCAAATGACATCTCACTTATCAGCCACCTTGATGCCTGTGCCAGCCATAGGCATTCACTGCCATTGTACAGCAATGTTCAGCATATTCAGGTGACATAAATAATTTCTGGGACATGAACCAGTGGCTTGATCTTCCTCCCTTGCTACATTTGTTTTTAGAGGTTGCTTTGCATTTGTATTTGGGAGGAAGGAGAGGGTTTCAATCAAAGCTGTGCTTGTGCAGCCTCAGGAAGGGATGCGGTTACAGCTGGTCATGGAAGGCATTAACAAAATCCTCCTGTGATGTTACCTCCTGTTTCTGATGGCCACTACTCTGCAGCTAAGAGGGAAGTCCCTTCATGCCATCTATCTGTTTTTAAACCATTTGTTTTACTAAATGTGGAACAGATCACAGTTGAATTGATCTTTTCCTTGGCCCCAAGCTCCTGGAGCAGCTCCATAACTAACATATGGAGTGTTATTCCTGTAACTTCCATGTGAATTTCTTCATTTACCTCCTCACTCTGAGAATTGTTTTCTGGCTGGGCAAAGGTTTTCAGCAAAGTGCTGATGGCAAAGCCTGTCTTTTCCTCTCGTTAACGGAAATGCAGGCAGATCTGTGACTGCAAGTCAAGCTGCAAAGCTTTTCTGATGTTGCCTCCTAATTTATTGGCTTGAATTTACTTTTTATTTCATTTCTATCTGTCAGCAGATGAAAGTTCTGTCACAACCACACAGGCCATGCTGCTTCCACACCGACAGCAGAAACAGCGACTCTCCGAAGATGTGCTACAGCAGGTACAGCCTTTATAGGCTTGGATTTACCATGGGGTGGCTTGGGGAAGGGGGATGATACCAAGCAAAGCCACAGCCTCCCCGTTAACACCATCAGTTTTGGTATGTGCTCTTGAGCCACTTGAGATGAGACAGTCACACATCAAACCCTGTCTGCCTCCAGTCTCAAGTCAATGCTTTGTGGGGAGCAGAGTTGTAGCTGAGAAAAATCTTTGAACAGAGAGAAGGGACAGGCAACCAAGTCCCTAAGCCAAGGAACATTGGAGGGAGGGGGAAGGTGATTCTGGTCCCTTCAAAGGGTTAGAGGAGGGAAATCTCAGGTATAAATTGGCATGGCTACAAACATCCAGCCGGGGTAAAGGTCTCTTTGCACCACCAGCCCTGCATCTGCCAGAGAGAAAGGATGCAGGCAGGCACAGACTGCAGCTGCGCGGGGGGTGACCCATCAGCCAGCAACACGGAGCTGCCAGGTGCCACGTGCCTCTTCCCCAGCCCCGTCCCCATGTGCTAAAAGCTCTTCTCTCTCCTCAGATCAAATGCTCACACCTGGACCTCCCCTGGAAGGCACAGAACTTCTTCAGGACTGAGCAGAAAGATGCATTCACACCCAAATCCAGAGGCCCAGCAGAAATCCTAAAGGCAGACTGCCAAGTGAGCCACATACCTCTGGGGACCCTGAAAACATACTGTCCCCAGAGGAAGGTGGTCTTCGCACCATGATGTTCTCCCTTCTTCAGTGACTGCCCAGAACTTCCTGCACCGTGGACATGGTGTTACCTGATAGCTGTTCTGGTGCCCTGCTTTTGGCCCGACTGTTTGTTATTACAGGGAACATTTATTTCACAAGTTGAACAAGGACACAAAAAAGGTGTTGTGACAGCAAGAATAAACACTGGGAGATTATCCCAAAGACGTGGGTGACACATCTCTCTGGATTGCAAGACCCACTGAGTGCCTCTGGGCAGGCGCTCGGGCAGGAGGAAGCAGGTGGGGTGGGGAGAAGCTCAGAGAAAGGGCAAGAGATCAGCAGCAAAGCGAGAGGCACTGTCAGGACTGTGTGGGGGCTGGAATAATCCCTTATTTTCTGTTTGGATTTTGGTGTCAAGGCCTGAAACCAAAGGTCAGTGAACAGTAGGGCAGGGAGGTAGCTCTCCCTCCCCATGATGAGTTGTAGACATAGTGCTGAGGGACATGGTTTAGTTGGGGACTTGTCAGTGTTGGGTTAATGATTGGACTCGATGATCTTAAAGGTCTTTTCCACTCGAGGCCATTCTCTGTAATTCTGGGGTTCTGAGTGGGCTGTTTTCCTAGAGGTGAGCCGTGTGTTTTTGTTGAGTTGATAACTCAGGAGTTTCCTGAATGCTGAGCTTGCACTAACTCTGTTTGGGACAGAAGTATTTTAAAGAGGGATCAGCGTGGGCTGCTCAGCCCCCTCCCTTGGGCGGCCGAGTGAGCAGGGATCCCTCTTGGGATGTGACTCCGTGTCTCTCAGGAAAGGGACAATCTTTGCTCCACGCATACATCAAAGATGCCACATACTCAGGTCTTGCAAATGCACGCAGGCACCTCACATCAGTATTTTATACCAGTATGTTGCAAACACCTTGATTTAAAGGTGTTAACACCTTGATTTAGAGGTGCTGGAGCAGCTCTGCTGTGAGGACAGGCTGAGGGAGTTGGGGCTGTTCAGCCTGGAGAAGAGAAGGCTCCAGGGAGACCTTCTAGCGGCCTCCCAGTACCTGAAGGGGCTCCAGGAAGGCTGGGGAGGGACTTTTTATAAGGGCAGTTGTGATAGAACAAGGGGAAACGGCTCTAAAATGAAAGAGGGTGAGTTTAGATGAGATATTAGGAAGAAATTCTTTGCTGTGAGGGTGGTCAGACACTGGAACAGGTTGCCCAGAGAAGCTGTGGCTGCTCCTCCCTGGAAGTGTTGAAGGCCAGGTTGGATGAGGCTTTGAGCAACCTGGTCTAGTGGAAGGTGTCCCTGCTGCTGGCAGGGGGGTTGGAACTGGATGAGCTTTAAGGTCCCTTCCAACCCAAACCAATCTGGGATTCTATGATTCTACACACCTAGATTGCATTGTTTGGTGTAGTAACAGGGACTTCCATCTGCTCCGAGTCTGCTCCATTCCTTTCATGTGACCCTGAGGTGGCTCTGCCACCTGTGCTGCCACAGGAACAGCCACGGTTCACTGGGGATAGATGGTGAATGTTTGGATGGAAGCAGCTGGCTGGGGAGCTGTTGCTGGGAGGACCCCGTACGTGGTTATTAATTTTCTTTTTCACATGGATTTTGATGCAACTTCAGACACAGAAAGTAAAATTGGATTTGGGGGTAAGGGGCTTTGCTTTCTAAACTCTTCTCCCACCCCTTCCAGCAGTGTCCC